CGGCAGATATTAAATCTGCATTATTATTATCTAGATTATAATGAAACATGTGTCATTGAAATAAAATATTGAACATGCGTTAATTTTTTTCAAGCGGAAAACTTGATTATTATTTTTTTAATTATTTAAATCAAAATTAAACAGACGCTGAAGGAACCGGGAAATTTATTTCGTTATAGAGAGGCGTTTTTATGCCTATAAACAAAAAAATAGCAAAATATTGTTTGATCCATTGAAAATAAAATTCTACTTATTTTTGTCCTTAATTTTTAGTTAAAAACTTTGTTTAATGACCGTTTATTTACTACTTGATAGCAAAATTAATTTTATTTGTTAATAACTCTTTATATATCAAAGTATTTTGCATTATATATGCACATTTGATGTGGAATTTAACCAGAACTTAAATTTGTCTAAGAATTTCTAAGTTTTTTAACCTGTTTTATTATTAAATATTTATTATTAGGTTATAGTGAGGCGACGTTACATCGAGGAACTAAAAATAACCAAATATTAGGATTTTGCACGGATAGGCAACTGTTTAATCTTTTCTAAGCTGGTTATAAACTCAATTACTCTTGTAAAAATGCCGGTAAATATTTCCTGAAGTCTAAATATGAATTCCGCGTCGCTCAGTTGTATTCACTTGTGTTATGTTTAAATGATTTTCTAGTAACGCAACGTGCACCCCAACAAATTAGCTGAAAAATCGTGCTTAAGTTATAGAAATATGCATTGCAATTTTCCGGGATGTTGGAATCATAATTACAACAATATTTCAAATGTTACCATCGATGTCATGTCTTTAAAAAAATATTCTAGCTTATAATTGTAAGAAATGAAAATATTTTTCATTGTTACACAAAAAAATTAATATAAACCAATTTTTACCTAAATTTACCGCACTGTATATTAATTCGTTTTGTGTGTGATTTAAAAAGTTTTAATCTGTAAATAATTAAATTTTATGCACCCACTACCACGTAGATTTACCAGATAATCCAATTATAAACGACACTCGAAATTTGTTTGCGTATTTTATCCCCGCGCGCGCACACGAGAGAGTTTGTTGGGGCACGCGTGTTTCAGTAATTAATTCGCGGTGTTAATCATTCCATTTCGACTATTATTCAGCGCAAGCCGAACGCATTACGCCGCGGTGCTGAGATAATTGCGACAATAATAAAGCTGCTCCAGTGCGCCGCGCCAACTGCGCTAAGATCTACTCATAGGTAAGAGTAGATAGCTGGGACGCGCGAAGCGAAGTTAAATATTCCTTTTCCGGTGTCTCTTCGGCTGTAATTCTCGAATTAAGTGTGTGTATGTGGAACGGTTTGGAAGACCTCGAAAACCTCGAAAATCTATTTACCTATTGTGTGATTCTCGCGCCCGGATTAAAATAGAAACTCGCAGAATTTCATAGAAGTGAAGTTTAAGTTTATTTAGGAGATTTACAAAGTTTAGAACTCAAATAAGTTGCGAAATTCTTTATATTTTACAATTGTAAATAATGTGCAAAACTCGTACGTAATCCTTTAATTAAAACCTGAATGATTTGCGCATTTGCGCATTGCAGTGCATGATTAATGCACGTCGAGCGCTGATTCAAATTTTTGCGCTCGGCGTGAACAATAGGTGACGATATCATCGAAATATCTCGAAGCGCGCGTGTCGATTTTTCGCCCCGGTTATGAAATGACATCCGGTCGGCATAAATTCTAATCGCACTCGGCGCACGGCCGCATACATCGCCGCCAACGTCGAAATTGTCATTCGGTAATTGCTACTGATGTATGTTTAAGCACAAAACAGCAACTACCAACAGAACTATACACATTATATACAAGGTGTTGAAAATTATAACGTAGAAATTAATATATAACATAATAAAATCATTTTTTAGTAAAATTTGATAAAAAATTTGTTTTGAATTAAAATGATTTGAAAATAGTATAAAATTGAGGTTAAGTATTGACCCAGTAGATAATGGATACATATTATCAAGTTAACTGGTGGCGCACGCATTTCGGAGAGGTGAATTTACGACGCGCTCGTAAATCAGTTGACGGTCAATCAAGCCAGTATCATACCTGCCGTCCAATATTATCATTGCACCGCTGCCACCGCCGCCGCTGCTGTTTCCATATTAGTGCGGAATTATCTATTTATTATTGTGATCGCCGTAACTGTAATCTATTACCTTCTAATGCACTATGTACGCCTACGCATTACTAAAACATATTTGCAAGCAAATATTTATAAATATGATAAAACAGGAAACAAAACACAAAAAATTAATAAAGTATCGTTTAATTATAGGTAAATTTATTTTATCACGTTATATCGAGGCGACATTCTATACAGAAACAAAAAATATTCAAATATTGAGACTTTTTGTGGATTGGCATCTGTTTAATCTTTTGTTGTGCTGGTTATAAACTCAATTACTTTAGTAAAAATGCCGGTAAATATTTCCTGAAGTCTAAATATGAATTCCGCGTCGCTCAGTTGTATTCACGTGTGTTATGTTTAAATGATTTTCTTGTAACGCAACGTGCACCCCAACAAATTAGCTGAAAAATCGTGCTTAAGTTATAGAAATTTGCATTGCAATTTGTAGAGATGTTGGGATCATAATTACAACAATATTTCAAATGTTACCATCGATGTCATGTCTTTAAAAAAATATTAAATACCTCATAAATGCTAGAAATAAATATATTTTTCGTCGTTACACGGAGTAACTGTAACGCTATATCAAGAAAATTAATAAAAACCAACCAAATTATACAAATTTCATCGTTATACAGAGTAAATCCACTGTATTTCCACTTTAATAATAATATTAATCCCGATTTACAGCAAATTTTCAAAAGCAATCATTTTGCGTAATCAATACATTGTCTACACAGCAATTTTATTTTTTATAAATATAAATATTGCGTGCCATCGCACGTGACTTGAAATGTTTTGTTTCCTTACACAACATGGCAACCCAGAGTTTAGTTACACAACCGGATAACTTTCTCAGTTTTGCGTCCCTACTGTATGTTTGTTGCTTCATAATAATTGTGTTGATTTGATTTGCGCAACACCCGGTGGCGATTTTCACCTGGTGGATGGGTGAGAGGTGTGAGCAGGTTTCGCGGCGTTGAACGTGAGCGACGGCTCTCTAATAATGGCTTTTAATGGGAAATTAATTAAGTGCACTTTTGTAATGCTTCATTGCTCTTTGCTCTACATCCACGGGCGGCGCGTAAGAAACTCGAGTTTATTACAATATACGCGCTTAACGCTCACCCCACTGGGTTTCAATCTAAATTATGTAACGTGAGCAAAATGTGTTCTGCGTTAATATTTTTTTCTATGAAAAATTTTTCTTAAAATTATTTTCTCCGGTTGTGATATTTAATAAATTGGTGAGTTTGTATTTGATTTTATGAAATTTTGCGAAACAAATTCGCAAAATGTTCGATATCCACCACCTCGAGGGCTCAGACACTATTTTTGCTGGTGCTGCCGCCGCCGTCGTAATACAATTTCACAATTTCTTCGCGAAACGTGCGAAACGGCTGTTTCCGCACATCGCCGCCGTCGACGTGAAGGAAATCCATCTGCCTGCACTCGCAGCAGCTAGATAAATACATATCGGCCGGGGGTGGCAGCCGCCGAAGAAGAAGGTTGAATATTTTTTCAGCTTATTCGTTTATTTCGTCTCATTTTCTCAACTTTTTCCGTATTCCTGGCGCAGGGCGTCGTTTTATTGCATCGGCGTGTATGTGTGTGTGTGTGTTTGCCTGTTGGCGCTTCGTCCCCGCACCGGGGGCGGTCGCCGGCTGTTCGACTAGTTCGGCAAATTCGGCCCCGGCAATATTGCGGATAGACGTGGTGTTTGGAAAGTTCAGGGTTCTTGCAGATTGCCGCCGGCGGACCGCCGAAGAAACGCGCGCTCGAATTTTTGTCCGACGTATTTTTGAGCAGATGTTGTCTTGTTTTGCAAACTTTGGAAAATTTCATCAAAACTACGCGCGCGCGCGGGATGTATTATTCACAAGTGTGTAATGACAATGAGTCTATCACAATGTAGATGGATACACTGTATGCATAACTGGATGGCGGCGTAATATTATTCGAAATGACCGGCGCATTTTGCGTTTTCATTCGTGGCTCATTAACGCGCGAGTGTTGGGCAATTATCTACAAAGTGTATTTCACTCGGCTATAAACTTAATCCGTGCGGGTATTGCAGTCATAATATTCGCACAAATGCCACATGGAGGAATAGTGAAGGGTATTAAACAGTTGCTTTTATTTGCGGAATAATTTTCCTCATGAAATTATTAAACTAATCGTGCTAAATTACAGATTATGAATATTTTTAGTTTTATTTGTGTTTTTTGGAAGGTTATAAAGAAGTAATTGAATTTTTTATTTAGGTAAAAATTAATTTTTGTTAAAATATATTTTTTGTGAGGAAAAATGGCTTTTAGTTAACAGTTTTTTTGCCATTTTCTTAAAAACTGCAACAGATTCTTCTTTTAAATTAGTTTTATTTTGGAGATTGTTGTTAGACACTGAAATGTCCAAAGTGTATTGTTGATTGGGTTGCCTATTTCTGCAAAAAATGCTAAGAAAAATCAACGATTTGTCGCGATTCTCGCCTCTATTTAATTTTGAAAAATACAGTTTAGCCGTTTTCTAATAGATGGCACTATCATATACCATATGTGACAGATGGAGTTTAATATATATAATATTGAGCATACAGATTTGATAATGCTCGTCTGTCACATTATGATTAAATTATCACATAATTTATATTTGTCAAATATAAAGTGACAACTTTAAAGATTTCAACAAACAGGCATTATTTTTTGAATCGCAAGCATTTCATGCAAAATCTGACATTGAAATCGTATACAATGCCATCTATAAACAAAAATTAAAATTTACTTACTTTTGTTTCCAAAAAAACTAATTTTATTGTTTTTCTGTTACAGATACACTTCCATACCTGTTGCAACAAAGGTAAACAAAGTTTAATTATATTCCCATCCAACATTTACGATCCGATATTAATAGACTTAATTAGGGCACAGTGTAATCGCCGTCATTAGTCATTATTCATTTAAGTACTTGCCTACAACTCGCGTTTGTCTATCTGCGTCAATGTAGTCATACTCATTTCTATGAATACTCAACGAGAAAGAAGACGTAGAAGGCGAGCAAACACACAGCGGGGCGATTACATGCATGCAAGCGATAATCGCGTGCACCCTCGACTGCACCGCGCGCGCGCCCTCTTTATTAGCTCTTCATTTGTGTGCCGCTGGCTTATAATAATTTCATTTTCATTCCGTACACACACTCACATGCATAGAACAAACACGATTCCGCGCCGCGATAAATTTTATAATTTTTACATTGTCGACAATTACGAATACCAACGACGTAATAATAATAACACGAAACAAAACACCACATTAAAAAAATTCACATGAAAACTTATTATTTTCTTTTTTTTATTGCGATAAAATCGCATGTTGTGGGTGTAATTAAGTTAATTTTATAATTTTCAATATAATTTGCTAGGAAATTTGCATGTCAAGATAAAAATTTGTATGTTCGGTGTGTATACCGCAAGTCAAAGCATAGGGAAATATTTTAAGTCTGCGTATTTTGAAGTACAACGCAGATTATTTCGAGTGCCATTAATATATAGGCCATAAACGTTATTATTATTCATACGGATCGTTAGTCGCGAGTTGCGGGATGCTTACTGCGCTGGGCGAAGATGAAGAGTATCCTCTTACTGCCACGCTGAGTGGAAGTGGAGGCCGACAATGGCGCATCGAGATCCACTTCGTGGACCCGCAACAACGGCTTCACTTCCATCTCAAAATTTCGATTGCTACTGGTTGTGTAATATGTTAAATAAGCGGTTTGCTTTAAATTTAGCTCCGCCCCTCTCACGCAATACGCATGCGCAGTAGATCATAATGTTATATAGTCGTTTTGTACGTTTTTACGAGCGATAATCTTAAATTACGCTTATTTATCTAAATATTTTTTGCAATTTGTTTCGTAGACTCGAGGCCATGATGCACTTGATAGTCTCACATTGCCATAATGCATTTTTTTGCTTGTTCCCGGTTTCTTCGCTCGTTTCGAGGGCATTTCTTACCCCCTACCATTGCTTACTTTTTTGTTTCGCATTTCGCATTTCTTACCCCCTGCGCGTTCATACTTTATACTTTTTGTTACTCTGCGCTGAAATTTTCGTGTTTTGCATGTTTTGCAAACGACAAGTGAATAATAATATACCATGTGTTTAAATCATTTTTGCCGGGAATTAATTCCCCGGTAAGAAATTAACTCTTTGCTGATGAATATTTAATTTTTGAGCCGGAGATGATTGATTCGTTCCGCTGTGGAGGAGGAAATAAGCTAAACTCTTCATGTGCGCCGAGTGCCGTAATGCACACGCTGCAGCACACAGGCCGTTGTTGCGCGTAATGCGCGCGCCCACGGCCGTCGTGTCGACGTATCCTTCGCGTTCTTAAAAAGGAGTAATTTATTACTGTCACCGTCAGAATGGGACGCATTAGTGCGGCCCGAACTCGGCGCGGCGCACTACATCAGACGAGGGGTGTCATCGTCTCGTCGTGCGCGCTTTATTATAAAACGCAGTTTTACTTCCCCCTTTACCCGAAAATGCTAAACGCTTCCGGCGAACGCGCGAGCGTATAATGCGGCACAAAGTGGCGACATCTAGCGGTGAATAGTGCTGGGTTTTCCATATGCCACAAATAAATTTTGATATTTTTGCGCAAAAGGGGAGAAAATATGTTTTAATTTAAAATTTTTACCAGTGACATTAATATTGAGCTAAAAAAACGGAAAATTTGACATTTTACGGAAGTGACGTCATTTTTAAGTAGTTTATTTTTGTTAGATATCTATATTTTTTGACCATTTTCTAAAATTTTTGGTGTTTTGAGTAAAATTTTCCTTAAATTTCCTTAAAAATTTCCAAAAATGCGTTTTCTAGTTTCCGGTGATTGCTCAGGCAACTAATATATGCATAGTGGCGACACCTAGTGGTGAATAGTGCTGAATTTATAATATGTTACAAATTTCACTTGGTATTTTTGGTGATAACCGTAAAAATCTTGTTTTAATTTGAAATTTTTTATTGTGATGTCAAAATTGAACTAAAAATGAAAAATTTGACATTTTGAGGAAATTACGTCATTGTTGAGTAGCTTTCTTTTATTGGTTCTATTAAATTTTTGCCGTTTTTTTCAAATTTTTCTGTTTTTTCATTAAAATTTTGCAATTTTCAACCAAAAAATGAATTTTCAAGATTCCTTGACGCAAGTTCCATAAAATAAATTCATAATTGCAATAATTTTCATTTACATTTCATGCCAATTGCCAAAAACTTCCGCGTTTTAATCCGACGCAAATTGTCGCCTTCGATTTCAAGCCTTCAAGTTTTTCCCTCGCTGCGCGCTCGAGGAATTAATAACATTAATAACTCGCCGACGAAGTTTATTATTCTCCTGACACAGTTTCGTTGTCTCGTGTTGTTAGGTCGTCCGCCGACGCCAAAACCATCCTCCTGCCGCCCGCCCGCCCGGTTTTTCCCTCCGCAGTCTCAGCGCGAGTTTAATTTTGATATGACGAACTTAATAACCAGCTTACGCTGCTCGTCCCCATATTGGGCTTTCGCACAACGTTCGTTCGTTTGTCGTGTTTTTTCGTTTTTAGTGCGGATCAACTTGGAGAAATATGTTTGTGCACTTTATGTGCGCAAAGCTTTCCACTTGGTCCACTCGCGTCTTTTGATTGCGACGTGGCCGAGAGCGACGCGAGCAACTTAGGCGATGCTTTCCCAACCACAAAAAAATAAAAACACGCCGTCCGCAAGGCGACACACTACGTTAAGTCGCATTTAATGAACTCTGAACAATATTTCTCGAAATTTTATCCGGCGCCGAATTAAAACATTATTGCGCGCGGTAATTTAATTTATAACTTTCAAGCGCTTTCAACTCTTATTAAAACAAAACGCGTAGGAATTTATGGCATGACCCTGTGTGAATTTATAGTTAACCATATTTGTTTCAAACGTGTATAATTCTGTCTGCTGTGTCTGAAAACCACACGAAACACATTAAATTAGCGTCTGTTGTTTGCGGGCGGCGCCGCCATTTTGCTTATATAACCGCAATCGTTGTTTGTGCGACAGGGATTATTGCATTTTTGTGCGTACAAAGCCCGGCTGTGTCACATCCGCTGGATTAAAACGTTAGCCGCGCCGTTTTCATAAAATTCGCCCGCGCGCGCAGAAAAAAAAATCATTATTTACGTGTGTTGTGCGCAATTATATTAAGGACGGACGCATAAATTGCCAGCGGATTAGTTCAATTTTATTGATAAGCGCGTAATTTAATTAAGAAACTAAATCTAAACTCGGTTATGCTTAGTTAATTTAAAGTTACGGCCGCGCGGAAGCGGCGGAAACTTTATCGCTAATCGAATTTTAAGTTGGCAACACTGTGTGGGTCATTTGCTGTCGTTAGCAAACAATGGACGTGCTGCTACTGTTACTTCCGGTGGCGTTAAATTTACTCACAATTTTTTTGTGTGTTTTTTGGGAGAAAATTTTTATGAGTTTTAAAAAAACTTGTACGTTTTTGAGTTTAATTTATGTTTTATATGTCTGTCTGTCTGTCGCGTTGTTCCTGCAACGCCTTCAATCTTTTGCGAGGCTGGCACTTCGTAAATGGTATTGGATTTGAGCCAATATAAGCGCCGCGTCGGGATCCGCACTACCTGCGCACGCAAATTCGACTGCATAATGTAGTAAGTTATTGATATTGAAAATTTAGATTGCGTTTCGTTTTCAAGTAATATACTTTATGTCGGCGTGCGCGTTTGGTTGCATACAATGCCAACTTACATCACACCCTCGATATGCAAAAGATAAAGACTCACAGAAGGAGAGATTTAGCTGGCGTGAAATTGGTGAGATTGCGAATCATCAATAACATTATCGTGAATGTGCTCGGAAAGTTTAACACATGTTGATGTTTGGGTTGCCTACTTGTGTGTGGATTTGCCTTTTGACTTATTTCGTGTTTTATTTTCGTTTGCTTGCGAAAGGTGCCGAGAAATTGAAAAAAAAATGCCAACGCCCCCGAATACGTGTCGACGTTTAGGCGAACGACAAACACAATTATCCTCTTCAGCCGTTGTCGTAGCCGACGCCGTGTTATTTCTCTATTTCGCCTCGCAATGATGGTAAAGAGGGCGAAATTGGAATGCGAATAAGTAAATAAAAACGGGAGCGCTGTGAGAAAAAAAAACGCACCGAGAGATATTGAAGGAGAAAACAATCCAATTTGAATACGGTGCTGTTTACATCTGAGGGTGGCGGCGGCGGCGGTGGCGGCGTGAGTTTATGTGCCGGTGCGCGCCGCCGACGACACCTTTGCAAACACGCGCGCGCCGTTTCAGCGCGCTATTACACTGATGCTGATTTAATCGGCGAGCAGCGACAAGTTTTTTTTTTCGCGCGCGTCGGAATATATTTCGTTTTTGTTTGCGCACGCATTGATTCGATTGTTGAGCGTAAACGAATTCAATTCGCATTGATTAAACTCAATTACACAATACAATATTTTACTCGTAACATCAAAAATTGTCTGAGGCGCATTTATTGCTTCGAGTTCGTCTTGTTTATAACCACTTGACCTTTCTGCACTTTGTGTGGAGAGTGGTGGGTTTTTTGGGTTGGGTGGAGCGCTGGAGGCGTCTAGTAAAATCAAAAGCTTATATTGCATTCGAGCGTAACATCGTCAATCACACGCGCGCGCCCCGGTCAATTCCTGCGGACCTTCCTAATTGTCACATCCATCAAGTGGTCGAAACCGAGTCCGGTCGTGAACCATCGAGAGAAAGACCTGCTTCGACGTGCAATACATCGTTGCCGTAATAGTCGGCCATGTTGGTTAGCCGGG